GCATGGTCATGCGGCTTCTTGGCCACACACTTGCCCTCGGGGCTACAGTACGAAACGAGGAGACCGGTGCTTCCGCATCCTATAGGACGTTCAGAAACGGATGATTCAACTGATAGTTCGTTGCCAGCAGGTGGACACATTGCTAAGAAGCGATGAATTTCTGCTTCACCAGTTTCGCGAACTAATACTAACCGTACTTGTACAGCGTGATAAGGCTCCAGTTGACCACCAGCAAGAGCTCCTTGGGAAATCGGGGCAGGACCACGGTTGCGATGATGAGGATGCAGTCGGACAGACGCTCGTAGGTGGACATGCCACGTTGTCGCCCGGGCACCCAAACGTCCCACAGCGCGGCGATAGCAAAGATAAGGAGGAATTCGATGAAGAGCCACGACTCGAGGTTGTGCGCTGAGGCTCCCTCCGTAGTGGATAGCATCCTCCGAATGAGTTGTCCTTGTGTCGTTCCGAAGCCTGTGCGCAGGACCTCGGCTATACAACCGCCATCCCCAGCGGTGACTTCCCCTGGCCGTACTTGCAACACCCTCGTTCCTCCGTAAAGTACGCTATCGCTGTGCGCTCCATTGATGTCCAGCTTCTCGCTCCCATTGCATCGCTTGATGCTCTCTTTGAGCAGAGGTGTTGCGTCTCCGGATAGGAGCGCCTCATTCATGATGACTGATCCATGCAGGAGAAGAAGGTCGGCAGGAACAGCGGTATCTTCCTTGCTTCTCGCTTGCGTCTTTGAGTCAGACGATATCACATAGGTAGCATGTCCACTCACTAATGGACACTATATCGCCCGGGACTAGCTCGTCCGTCTTGACTGACCGCCACTTCTTGTCGCGATAGCATAAGATTGGGAATGGCGCAATGGGGATTGTCCGAGACTCCTTGAGTGTTTTGACGCGCTGGGACAGCCGTCGACTCGCGTCGATCTGCGACAGGCGCACCTGGAACATTACTGTGCACTCGAGCACCAGCATCAGGAAAGCGACAAACACATTGCAGTGCCAGTATTCATCCAGAGACCAAAGACCGACACAGAGCATCTGGAAGACAAAGAAGGACGCGACACCATGTCCGGCAAACATTTCGCCAAATGACGGCAGGGGTATATCAAGGGTGTTGGGACCATAAGACTCCCGCAGAGCAGGCAGACTCGACGACGACAGTCCAATGGCGGTGAAAGATGACAGCAGGGGACGAGAGTCGCACGGATAGGGTAGCCGAGTGAAGGGTTTGCCCGCAGTGCAGATGTATGTCTCAGATTGGTAGACGAAGGTGTAGGTTGTCAGGCTCGTAGGGTTCTTCCTCAGAGGAACAATCATGTCCCTTCCTCTGTCTTCCGTTGGAACGATCCGAATGCAATCCGCTTGGTCGAGCGATGAGGCCTGTGTAAAGGTCAGCGCCTGTGTGCACGCATGCTATGAAAAGATGCGTACATTCACGCATGTCAGCCTCGCCTTGACACCCGGGCTGCATTGTGGGATTAGGAAGCTGAAGAGATGACAGGCGAGCACGATCGATCCTGCGGCAAATGCGCGCTCCTGCGTCCCAAACCATTCGTCGTACTTGGTGAAGTAGGCATAGCCAAAGACGGACCAAACAACGACGAATGGTGACGCGTATAGATGGAGATAGAATGGTATCCGACAATGCAAAGTCGCCGCTCTAATTTCAGGTGAAGAGACTAGAACAGCAACCATGGCTGCTCACCGTCTCTAGGCTGCTCGCTGTGAGAGGGAAGAGAGTACAGCGCTGTGGAAGAGCTGCGAATGCACTTTTTTTCGCTGGTAACATGGCAAACGACGGGTCGCGTACGTACACTGATCAAGTCGCTTGAACGCATGTTCACTTCTAGATGAAACCTCCCATCTCAACCAAGTGGAACGTCGATGCGGATGCCGTCTAATGTAGACTAAAATTCCAGCCATATCAAAGGCTCCGGACGATGCGAGCCAATGCTATTATGCGCTGTGTACATATTTAGATAGTGTTACATGTTAATGTTTATTACCCAGATCTGCGCTATATCATCACCTCGTCCTCCTGCGCAAGACCTGCTGCTCGCTCAAACTGCGCTCTGATGAAATCTCTTACGATCTCGGCGCCCGTCCGTGCCTCTCTCGCGACCTTCTCCCAGTCTCCCTCTTCCCCTTCCCATTCAGCCCATACCAGCTCCCCGGACACTGTTCCGCGAAATAAGAACCCAAAAGCACCCGTTTCCTCTTTCTCTGTCGGGTCAAGCACAAGTCCACCGTTCCTGGTGCCAACCGCACAGGCGCATACAATGCCACGCATGCTCACGCTACCCGCGTCGAGGAACGCGGCCGTAGCAGCATTCATCATCGCCGCTTTTCCACATAAGGATATTTGGGGTTGTGCAAAGTTCGAAGGGAGCGAGGAAGGAGAGAGTGCTTGTAGGGTGAGTTGAATGAGCGTGCGTGGTGCTCGTCCAAGCAAGAGGGATGGAGTGAGAGCAGATTTCAGCGTCTGAGCGATCGATTTCGCCTGAGTACCTGGACAAACGATCAGATTCCCTACACGTTGTTATGTACAACTTGCTCACCTGGAACACCTTCTAAGGGCCTGACATTCACCTCCAAAAATGCCTCTTCCGGCTTCTCCCATCCACTCCTGACATCAATAGGTCCTGTCACGGAGGCCAGAGCGATGACACTCCCTGACCCTTAAGTGAGCTGCGTCTCCCTTCTCTCTGACACTTTTCTCACCTGAAGCAAACCTAGCCGACCCATCTACTCTAGATAGCTCGCCCAGATCAAGCTTGAGAGGGGGAAGATCCGTCATCCTGCCGCACAGGAGAAGAGGGAAAATAAGTAAGGGTCCCTTGCTCATGACAATCATGCGGATATTTTTTACGACCACCCCGTCGGTTTGACGATAACATTCACCCATTCACTTTGGCGTTTTGCTGGCCATGAATCACGGTCAAGGCTAGAGGGTACAATGCAAGAGCAGTACAGAAGTTAATTTGATCATTCATCGACCGGATGGAGATCAGTTTCTAGTCAACTCTGGTTCACTCAATCACGGGCAAAATCTCGGCGCCTCTGCGAGCAAAGGCTTATCTCCGGTGCCATTCTCGACATCTTGTTCATTTGAAGTAGTGCATATCTCCGGTGGCTGGTGGCCCACGTCGGGTTTTGGCGTCGAGAAACATCGGCTTTTGCTGACAAACCACGTGTGGCAGAGTCGCGACCCTTGATCTGCTTACCAACCTTCACTTGAGTTGATTTGCGGTCCTCTTGGCATTTTCCCATGGCGAAATGGGTTGGAAATCTGACCAACCATTGTCTTTGTCATCTCCGGCGGTCCTTGGTGGGTTGTACGAACTGGGACCTTCAGGTCTAACAGGCTGCTGTCCTATAAAATGCCCGTGGAAAGCTGCCTCTTTCCGACATCCAAAGCACACTAAAGATCCTAAATCAACTCAAAAAACAACCAGCTTAAACCCATAACTTTAAATCGATAATGGTTTCCGTACAAGCTCCCGCCAAGGTCCTCGTTACTGTTATGTAGCAGAACAAGATCAGCAAGAAGTAGTCACTGATACTTAGCCCAAGGTGCCAACGGCTTCGTTGGCTTGCATATCGTCAAACAGCTGCTGGAAGGCGGTTGTATCGTCCGCGGCACGGTCCGCTCAGCCTCTAAGGGCGAGTGGATCAAGAATAAGTTCTCGGCCCATGCCGACCATATCGAGTACGCCATCGTCGAGGATATAACCAAGGCAGGCGCGTTCGACGAAGCGATTAAAGGCGTCGACGCGGTTGTGCACGCTGCTTCTCCTGTTCCGGATAATCTTGACGGCACGCGTGAAGGCAAGCATCCTGCCCTCTAGGTATGTTGTGATACCATTAATGCCCGGAACAGAGATCTACGTCCCGGCTGTCAAAGGTGCGGAATCGATCTTCAACAGCCTCGAGAAGAGCACTACGGTTAAGCGTGTCGTTCTTACTTCTTCGTTCGTCGCGATGATGGAGCCCCATGAGCATGGTTTCACTTATGATGAAGTACGTTGCTGTCTCCTTTTTCTCCTCACCGAGGCTTACAATTATGATCAGACGATCTGGAACGATAATGCTACTAAGATGGTGAAGGAGAACCCAAAGGGCCCAAAGGGACTCCCGGGTGCGACGTACTACCTCGCAGCCAAGACGGATGCCGAACGCATCGCCTGGAACTTCTACAACGCGCACAAGGGGAAACTCAACTGGGACCTCGTGACGCTCACTCCTCCCTGGGGAGGTCGTATTCACGCTTTCACCAGCTCCCATCTCACTCACGACGCCTACTCAGATCTTCGGCCCTATCCTTCAGGACGAGCCCAACTTCTCGAACAGCCTCGTCTACAGGAACGCTTTGCTCGAGAAGGCGGGGAATCTTGCTAACGACCATGCCGGGTTCTGGATCGACGTGCGGGACGTTGCGAAGGCCCATATGCTCAGTCTTCAGAAGGACAAGGCTGGCGGAGAGAGGATCTTCATCGCTGGAGGTGCGCAGTTCTGTGAACGCTTCATCATGATAGCAGACGGCTCATGATTGTGAGCAGGCCCTTATAGGTGGCAAGATCTTCGCGACGAGCTGTCGAAGCGTAACATCCCTGGCGTGCTCACTGAGCGAGTTCCGGGTGAGGACAAGTACGACATCGCGGACCTAAGCAAGTCGGCCGATATCCTTGGGATGACCTACCGCTCGCTTGGAGACACCCTCGTTGACAGCGTGAGCGCGTACAAGAAGTCGCAAGAGAAGAAGTAAGGGGGTTCTCCCTCCCACTTCTCTAGCTGGTTAGACATGTATACAGCTCTCCAGTCATAAATCGATAAAGTTGTTGTTATCTCGTGTGTGTCCTGCACGCGCTCCTCTGTATACAAAGAGTGTAGCTCCTTCAGTCTGCGATACATCAAATGCGGAATATAATAATATAAAGTATGCAATACAACCAAAGCTTTTGTCTAATGATACACCTAAACACTTACGCACCCTTCTCCTTCCGAGTACCACGATGTACAAAGTTGTAACATTGTTTACCGCCGTCCGTCCCAAGCAAGCTTTCCATCTCCTCCTTGCTGAGCTTGCACAGTTCTTTCACACTGGCCACCTTCCCCATTACATATCGCACGTTCTTGCTCGTGATACCTGGGAAACAACGAACGAGGTCTTCCGCTTGATTGTTCCATCCACCTTCCGCCATGCTCCCCCCGCCCTCTTCCGCGCCAATCTGTATCGCCCGGGACGGGTCTGGTTCAGGGTGGTTCATCTTAAGATCCGCGAATATCTTCGCTGTTGCAAATGGAGAGGACGACCAGATGATTCCTAGACGATGGAAGGCAAGCGTGAGGAGAACCAGCTTGGCCTGGATCGACGACATGTCAGGGGTGTTGAATTCTGCTGGTTGGTTGGGCTTGGTTGTCTTGGCCTGAGATCGAGTTTCTGAGATCGTCTGTGATCTGCTGAGCTACAAGACAACCCAGGATATGAAGGTACGAACCTGCAAAGAGAATGACTTGTCCTGTTCGAACTCGATGAGTAGGATGGGCTGTTTGTAGTGTACAGACATAAGTTCGCATTGGGTATACAGCCGGCCACTGTTGAAACTCTGAACCAGATCAGGCACGCTCTTGCGCTCGACGACCATATCGGGGGTGAGGACATAGTCGCCGACCGTCAAGGTAGCAGGAACAATCTGGATGTTGGTGGCATGCAGGAGGGATGGCAGGCTGGAGCGGAACTCGCGCATGTCAACGATAATCTGTTCGGTTGTCAGCCTGGTCCTTGTCCATACACAATAGAACGGACCCTTGTCGGCTCTGAATTGACAACATTTCCCCCACCCGCGATCCGAGAGCTGATCGTCTTGATCAGATCATTGGTGCCAGCCCGCGTTGGCTGTTCCAGTATTGGGTTCAACATCGTCGCCCTCTCCTCGATCAACTTTGCAAACGCGTCCTTCTCCCTGCGCTGACTTGCGAGGTACATATAGTCCTCACTCGTCATCTCGTACACCATGAAGTATACTCTCACAGCCAGTCCAGGGTGGGAAGACCGGTATACTTCCACGCGGCGGATGAACGCTTGATCAGGCTCGTACATGATGATCCAGCGCGGTTGGAGCTCGGCGAGCAGGAGATCATCACTGTCGTCCCCATACGCGCGGATGAGAACGATTTGCTCGTCGGGGATTATGCCGAAGTCTTGGTCGAAGGATGCACTGTCGATCCGGTCCACTAAGGACACGATGTCTTCCTCAGACATGGTGTTGAGTGTCAAAGGTGGTGGGGAGGCATGGGTCGCATCGATACTGCACATGACTCTTTCAGATCAGCAGTGCTCTTGACAAGAGCAAGGGACGTACAACTCCTCAAGCTCCACAGCTTCCTCCTCCATCTTGACCTCCTCAGCCGCCGCGCCGCCTCTAAGGATACTCCTGCCCACGGGTTCGGGCGGCTTTCCCCCTCTCATCCTCCGTCGTTGATGTATCACCCGCTCCCTCAGCTTGTCCTTTTTCAACAGGGCCTCGCTCACTCCATTTTCTCGATCTGCCCCAGCACGGTCTGCACTTTCAGGCGCATCCGGAGCCCCAGGAGCAACACGCCTCAGTCCCCCACCACCTGCAAGGCCCTTCCCAAGCTCCTTCTTGGCCTGCATCGTATGCCTCAACCCTCTCCCCTTCCAGAAAACGTACTCTCGCAAGTAGTTGTCTAACATTTTCTTTCCCGGTGGGTTTTCTGGGTCGACCTCAGAGGATGAAGAGGTTTGGGGGAGGGAGGTGAGGTATTCTCGGAGGAGGGCGCAGGTTTTATGGTCTTGTACCATGATTAGGACGAGGTTTGTTCCCGGTGCATCTACACGATGTCAGCACCTACTCAAAATCGGCAGAAGACGGACGGACGGGCCGGGTATGGATTTTGCACCATAATCTCCTCAATCTCGAGCAGTACGCGTCTGAGTAAGTCCCATTTCGGAAGTTCCTCATACACAGGTGTCATCCCCTCCGGGAGCCACTTCGGCCTCACCTTGCCCGGTTTCTTTGTGCGCCCCTGCAACCCTTCCCACTCGTCCAGCACGTCCAGTTCGTCGTCGTGTGGTTCATGCCCGTCCACCGCTGCTGCCGTAATCGTCCCCTTCGATTTTGCCTTCTCGGTCAATGTATAGCACCTTACCTTCGCGGTGACAATCATCGAGTTCGCCGCATCCATATACAACCACGGGCTCTGGTGCACCTTTGCCGCTCCCGTCTCGGAGACAGTATTGCTCGCGACGATACTTTCGAGGTACTTGAGGAAGGTGATAGGTGGGTAAGCCAGTAGGAAACGCAGGAGTCTGCGCAACTCAGCAAGGTCTTTGACGAGCTGGTTCGTGCGGGGGCCGACCCTGTGCCAGACGGGATCGAGCAGATGTCGGATGAGGTTTGAGGAGGAGGGGAAGTAGGCCGCCTCCACTGTTAGGTCGTCTAGATCCAGCTGTATGTTGTTAGGTGCGTGCCTGTCTGAACTAGAGAAACTCACGGTAGTGTGACTCCGCTTGATCTCCCCCAACGTAGCTTCCATACACTCGGTAATACACCGATGAATCTCGCGCATGCTCTCGCTCATAGGCTGATATATCTCCACTACATCCGCCGTGCGCTTACTCAGGCTTTCCTGGACTAATTCGTGAAAGCGCGGGTAGAGGCGGACGATAGAAATTCGCAGCTCTTTCATCACGCTCCGGAGAGGAGAGAAGCCAGACTGAAAGAATTCGGGCTCGCCGCTGAAGGCTTTGAGGAATCCGGATGGATTGGATTCACGGAATAAGCGGACGATGAATGATTCGGTGCTTGTGGGTGAGACTCTGCGCTGGGTGAGTCGACGAGCGCACGCAGCGGGGAAGCACGCACTTTTCTGCATGAAGAACGACCATCCCAGTTATTTTGTCTACTGGAATGTCACGTTGAAGCATGTCCACCACCAAGATGCGGCTGGTGACGCTGACGAGTCCACCAGCTTTGTACATCTCCCTCCTCTCTGCACGAGGCATCTCGTAGTCTACGACCCTCAACCCCGGTCTCCTCACACCCATCACACCCAGCTCCTCCCCAATTCCCACTTCTTCCTCCGGTGATGCACCCACGAGGAGTACAAGCGACGAGGGCGAGTCGTATATCTTGAGCAGGGTGCAGAGGATCTTGCGGAGGCCGAGTCCGCGTGCGAGGATGAGGAGCTCGCTGGTGTTTGGAGAGTGGAACTCATCGATAATGTGCTTTTGAAAGGGGAGAAGTGTAGTCATCGCATGATATCGAGACGTAGCGGTGGTGATGAGGAACAGAGAATGAGGAGCAGATGAGAGGTCGAGGAGGAGATGGACGATGACTAGGTGAACCTGTCATAAAGTAGGTTAGCGCTGATCACATGATCTTGCGTGAGTTTCCCAACTGCGGGCCTTCGTAATAATTGTTGAAAGAGAGGTGTAATAATCTCCTTCATTGCCTTGTTCATCTCAAGGCAAATCCTGCATTGTTGACATTGTCTACATGGGGCACAGGTATGATTGATGAATATCCTCGAGTGGCAAGCTACCAGCTCACACGCCCCTACTAACCGGATCAACTTTCCTTTCGCATATCCCGGTCTGATACCCAATTTCTTGAAATCCATACTTCCCCTCTAGGATATTCTTCGACACCTCAGGGAAAATCTGGTATGCGTTCGTCTCTGCATCATGCGAGAACAACCAGGGAGGTGTAGGCAGCTTCATCCCCTCCGCACGATCTTTCTCCAGCACCTTAGTATAGTCCGCTTTATGCCAGGTGTCACGATTCGTTTCTCCTAGACGCTGTGCACGCCGGCAGCGTTCATATCGGATGCGCTCGTAGCACCTTACCGCTAAAGGAATGCGGTCCTTACCAGCGGCATGCAGGCAAGCGGCGAGAACGACACCGTCCTCCATGGCTTGAGAGGCACCTTGGATTGAGGTGGGCAGGAAAGGGTGTGCAGCATCGCCGAGGAGACACGTTCTCCCTCCTTTTGATATCCACTTTGATGCCCATCAGACCTTGCCTCCGGGAAATAAAGGAGACGTTGCGCACAGTAGGGAGAGGATCCCGATAAACCAGCTTCCAGTCTACAAGTTTCTCGGGCGGCGTTTTCTTCACTAGCGTCTGCACGACCGGATCCCAGTCCCCTACCACCTTGAGAACATCTTCTATTTTCCCTGGGAAAGACCATGATTCCTCGATATCCGCTTTGTCCTGATGTACTCAATGAGGAGTTGTTGCATAGAGGAGCATGACCGTACCTCATGTGTGCACACCCAAGAGATATCCTTTCCTCCCTTTAGCGAGGCAGCAAGAAAGTGTACCTAGCAAAGTGAGTTCGATGGCACACAGGCAAAGAGGGACAACCCGTACATCAGGCCCAAACCACCCTGTATGCGTGTTATCCTTCGTCATCCATGCCGTGAGCGGATCTTTCGCAAGTTCTTCGCTGGTGAACCACGTTCTCCACACTGCATATCCCGACGAACGCGGTTTGTCCTCATACCCAAGCACAAGCTTCCTCGCCTTGCTCCTCACGCCATCGGCGCCAACCACGAGGTCCGCCTCCATCCTCTGCCCATTAACGATAACGCCCCCCTTGTCCTCTTCCTCCCAGTACTCGTCCACCCTCTGCCCAAGCCGGATCTCCACCCCGATCTCCGTCGCAAAGTTGAAGAAGATCTCGTGAAACTCACCCCGATGGCCGTTGTACGCGGGACTGCCAAACTTGAGCCCATACGTCGGCATCGTCGTGATATCCACGCCGTCATAGCGCTTCCAGCGCGAGCCGGTGTGGATGAGCGTGACCGGGCGCAGACGATCAGCGACGACGCCATTTCCCCAGCGCTCGATAATACGTCCTGCGTTCGGACCGAAAGAGATGATATCGCCTAAGATCTCGAGCTTGGGGAACTTCTCGAGCACGACGACGTTGTGCCCCTTGTTCTTGCATTCGATGGCGCATGCCAAGCCACCAATACCTAGTTATGAGATGAATTGCGGATTGGTCGTGGGAGTATGACTGCTGCTCACCAGCACCAACGATGATGACCCGAATGCCGCTCGGTGGGAGTTGCTCAGGACACACCATGCTGCCTCTTTGATGGACAGAGAGTACAGTGAAATTGTAATCCCATGCTGTCTGAATGACCAGAGATATATAAATCAAATGGAGGGATGAGACGGACACGGTTCAGGCTGAAATGGATGACAAGTGAGCGCGTGAAGGTTGACGCGAAGATGAAATGGTCAGGAGACTGAGGTCAACACCCCCTTGTTCTTACACAATATCAATTCGATGAGCGGCATAATACTCCAGTCGACACTATTCACAATCCGCTAGCTCTACATATTAAAAATGGTTTAGAGGGTTAGGAAGGTTCTCCTGCTTCACTATCGCTCCTCTGGCTTAGAAGTGTTCACTATGTCGAAGACACCTTCCTCGAGCGAGCGGTACTTCAAGCCGAGGAGACTATTGGAGGTTCGAAATGTCGCTCATCCCCCGGAATATGATCCGTAAGGCTCCAGCCACCTTACCCTTCACCAGCTTGTGGCGAAGGTCTTGCACTTCAACGCACCTAACTCACATCCTTCCGTAAGCTTCAGTTCCGGACGAACCTGACCTGGACGAAATGGGGAAGGTACACCTTGAGCACCTTTTACGAGGGCCACCAATCCATGTCAGACAAGACCTACTGTATTCACTCATATAAAGATACAAAGATCCAGCGGAGCACGTACATGCGCCAGAAAGGGAGTGTAGGGGATGGAGAATGGAGAATAGGATGAAGGTGAAAGTGAACGTGAAAGTGAAAAGGGTAAATGCGTGCTACAGGCTCAAGAAAGGTGGCTCAGTCTAATCTGACCCATTCGCATACAAGCTCTGGCACGCAACACGCCTGGACGCTTTCACACCGGACGAGCGCGTCCCTCTAGCCTCTAGTAGCCGTCTACCGTCTAGGTTCGACGCCCTTCCTTCCACATTTTTATGCCCTCCCTCTTTCCACCCTTCCCGCTCACCCTCAGCGGCTCCCCAGGGTTTAGGCTCACTTATCCCCTCTGTACCAATCCACACCCTTCTTAAACTGTTCCAAGAATATAAAGATGAGTATGGTCTGCGGCTGGAGACGGGTCCAAGATGGCAGCCAGCCTTTGAACATCCACATCGGGCCTTCGGTCTTGAAGCTGTTGGAGATTGCGGACATTACGGACCCGCCCTTTCCGGAGGCGGACATTATCCGGGATTTGATGACATCGGCGGGGGAGCAGACGGCTGATCGAGCGAGCGGGATTGAGTGGGTGAGCGAGCGAGCAGGGGGGTGAGAGGAGGGTAAGCGGAGGATAGAGACGACAGGTCAGTAAAGTCCCTTAACGGGAAAAGGTTCACCCAACTCGTAGCGACAGTTCCCTGTGTGCCAAGTCCCCACGCACGCACGAGCAGGAGTCAGCGAAGTCCTACGCATAGAACAGGCACAGAATGTAGAACGCAGAACGTAGTGCAGGATGAGAATAGGGTGAAACGCCTCGGCCCCTAGGTCGGGGAGAATCGCACGAGTCGGGGAAGACCGCCAGCACGTTCTTTGAGAACCGTGCAGCGGGGTTGGCTGCTTGCTCTGCAGAGCATGCACAGCGAGTATATGCAGGGACGTGCCTTGGCACCTTGCCCTACCCAGGTACGCTTTCCCAGCTAGGTAGGTTTAGCCTGCACCTTCTGCCGGTGAACGCGCCTCCCCTCGGGCATAACGCGTTCCCACGGGTCTCGCGCCTCGGAGTGCGCTCGCACCCCTCGCAACCTCTCGAACCTCTCGAAATAGAACGACACTCACCGCACAGAAACTCGCCGAAAAGTGCGTGACGATGTTGTCCTCGAACCAAGGCAGCCTGAGCAGTTGCTGCTTGAACCAGTCGTACGCCGCCAGCTGGGAACCGTTCATAAGGATCGTACGGACGACATTAGGCGCCACGCCACGGAATGTCGACGAGAGGCCTTCGTCTCGTATCATCTAGGGGAAATTAGATAGGATAGGCAGGAGGGAGAGGAAGGGCGTACACGGCCTAGACCTTGAAGCGCGTTCCGGTAATGCAGCTGTTGCTCGGCTGGCTTGGCTTTGTCCGCTTGCATACGGACGAGGATGATCTCTGAGCTAGGTTAGCACGGGATGCGGGACGAATAGGAGATGTGGAGGGTGGAGGAGGTTGAAAGGATCTATAGTGGACTCACCCGCCGGATTCCCAACGAGCCCCGCGATCGCACCCGCTACACTCTCTCAGCTGGACCACTCTCTTTCCTTGCATAGACGGAGACGCACCACTGCACCCCGAGAAGATAAGTTTCCACATTGGCATCTCCCGCTCAGGCCCATCATGTATCTCGCGCTTGATGATATCGTACACTCCGAACCTGGTGACAGAGTACGTCGCTTGGCGGAAGATGGTACCCGTGAGGCCGTCGAAGAGTCCACGGAGCCCTCCGCCCATCTGCATCGTCTTACGTATGGAGGAGATCATGTGCTTGTCGCCTGACACCTGCATGCGGACTTTGGTGAGATCTAGCGGACTGGGATGCTGTCAGTGCTTGAAACAGGTAGTGGGGAGGAGACGCACTGGGTGATGACTGCTGCTGAGCATGCTGCCAACCCGCCGAGCCAGAAAGGATAGGGCTTCTTCTTCTTCGGCCCGCGTGCCAAGGGAGGCTGAGTGCTAGTCTCGATTCCCTTTGGGTCTGTGGTAGAGTCCTCTACCTGCCGACCGGACATAATGTCCGTTGCTATCCTGTCTGAGCGGGTTGCCATGTCTTCCTGTGGAGACGCACACGAGAGGATGGGGAGGAGGAGAGGAGGGGTAAAGCTCGAGTAAGGGAAGTAGTATAAGTATGTTGTGTGCTGGGTGTGTGATCGTCGGGAGGAGGAGGAAGGCGCCGGAAGAAGGGGAGCCAGGGTGTAAAGGGGGAACATTCGGCCGGTGAATAACATCTGGTTCCGTCTCTTGTCCCCTCCACCGTTCCACCTCCTTCCCCGCACTTTCCCCACACACTTTTCGACTGTCTAATGACCGATATCCCTTTGCACCGGTACTCCCCGTATAGTAAACGTTTATATTACATTAACATGCACACGACCACCCGCTTACATTCCCCTTCTCAGCCACAACACCCGCAGTCCCTTCATCTCCCACCTTTCTTCATAAGGACATCACCACACCGACAAAAGTACTCCAAGAACCCAACACATGTCCGTTCCTCCCCGCTTCATCCCGGGTTCAGCCTCATCATTCCAACAATCACACGCCCGATGACCACGTCGCCATGAAGCGTGATATATGAAGCACGAGCAACAAGTCTATTAGATCAGATCAGAGCATCGTTCACAAGGAGGATACGGTACTGTTCGGCTCAATCGGTCTCGGACTGTTGACTCCGCGGCATTCTGTTCCCCATTGCGCATGATCGTGCCTATGCGCTGGATGCTCGGATCAGCGCTCTCGGTCAGCTGGACAAGACACACTCGGAAGCGACGGATCGTCTCCTGGAGGCATCTCCGCGGCAGAAGCTGATTGCTCGGACCTCACTGGGAGAGAGCTTCCTTTCTGGTTATTGGATCCCACGATACTGGCCGGTCACCGGTAGCTCTTGCATCTGGAATCGACCACTTAGGATTGGACAATCCGAGGTGCCTACGTCCTCGAATCTCGACAAGTCTTGCATCCCGCGTTGGTTATCTCATTCAAACGTCATCGACAGCTCAAGCATGCGTTTACCCTACTACCAGGTCGCACACTAGATACACCGGCCCCTTATGTCTTTGGCAGTTCCTCAGACGTCGGCGGGACACACAGGTGCCTATGTCCCTTTGTACGGCATATCCGAACTCCAGTTTCCCTCGTGCCGTGTTTAGACCCACTTGAACCATTCACGTTGGCGGTTTCTCTGTCAAAAGCACTCATTCATGCGGGATTATCAAACGTGATATCGCAAGCCGATCGCTGTCACGATTCCCTTCGCTCGAGCACCGCAAGCCACTACCCAAGAAAAGCTACCAGCGCTTCCTCCAAACGCGTTTGAACCCAAACCTGCTTATCGATGCCGATAGTGAATATTCTCGATCTGGAACAAGACCCCTACTCAATAGGGATCCGGCTGCCTCGTGCAATTCGACAGAGGGAAGTCCTGGCTGGGACTGAGCCTATGTATAGACATCAGGCGCTGGCATACCTCGGTCCGTCTGAGCTTTGACGAGTACCGCGTTCAGCTCTCTACTCTCTCCCTGATACTCCTTTGCCTTACGAACCGCACAACGTTCTCCAGCCGCTAGACCGATGGCCATCCAATGGAGCATCATCCTCAGCGCTATCGTCGTCTTATTCCTCATTGCCCTCCTCTCCCGGTCGCGCAGGTCCAGCGCTCCCGTCCTCACATCAGACTGGTTCTTCGGTTACCTCACCCTGTTCAGGATGTTAACGCAGTACAACGATCTGCTCGTAGAAGGGTACGCAAAGGTGTGTCAAACCCTATCATACCCCTACCTCTATGAGATGGTCATTCGGCATCCAGTTTAACAAACACGCTTTCCAACTCCCTGGGATCAGAGGGTGGATCGTCTTCGTCGGCAGGGAGCTGTATGACGACCTGCGCAAAGCAAAAGACGACACGCTCTCCTTCTCGGAAGAGATAACAGATGTGCGTCCTCCTTTGTCTCCTGCTCCGCTCATCATGATCCCTGGTCATCCCAGACCATCTCCATGGAGTACACGATCGGCCGGGCTTACGCTACGGACCTGTGGCACAACGCCGTCATACGCAAGCAGATGACCCAGGCACTAGGTCCCAAGTTTCCGGAGGTGTATGACGAGACTGTATGCGCGTTCGAGGATGAGCTGCGGCTCAGCAGGACAGGTGAGTCTTCTGTTTATCCCTATTCTACAGCTCTGCTTCGCTTTCGGAGATAACCGCTGACCTAGGACAGAATGGAATTCGGTACACGCTCACGGCCTTATCCTCTCCGTCATCTGCCGTGCCTCTAACAGGCTGTTCGTCGGTCTCCCTCTCTGCCGAGACCCGGTCTACACCCAAATCTCGCGCGATTTCTCAGGAACGGTCATTGCTGCAGGAGTCACTATTAGCCTCTTTCCCAAGCTGCTCAAGCCGCTTGTGGGGAGATGGGTCACTGCTGCGCCTAGAGCGAGGAGGAGATTTGAGAAGTTTTTGGTGCCGATGATCGAGGAGAGACGGAGGAAGGAACAGGAGATGGGAGAGCTTTGGGAGAAGGAAAAGCCCGTGCGTGTGGTGATCTTGCACTGTGTATGCTGCTGATACTGGACTTGATCTTTCTTGTCTCTGCCTGGCTTTCGGTGGATCAAGTCCGATCTCCTCCAATGGCTGCTGGACGCTTCGAAAGAACACAACCCCACAGCAGAGGATATCACCACCCGCATACTGGGGATCAACTTTGGCGCGATGCACACTACGGCGCTCGGATTCCTGCATGTCCTGTATTGGCTTGCCGCGCATCCCGAATACGCCCCAGTCCTGAGGGAGGACGTCGATCACGCTCTGGCCAACTATGGGTGGACGAAAGAGGCGCTCGGGAAGATGCACAAACTCGACAGCTTCATCAAGGAGTGCATGCGGTTCACCGGGCTCACAGTGACTGCCATGGGTAGAAAGGCGGTCAAGGACGTCATACTCTCTGACGGGACCTTCGTACCCAAGGGGGCGAAGGTAGTCATGAACGCCTGGAGCATACAACACGACCCTGCCGTTTTCTACAAGCCCCTCGAGTTCGACCCATGGCGATATTCATCCCGTATCGCGCGTGGGGAATCGGAGGCTCTGAACAGCCTGGCCACGGCAAGCGGGGAGTTCTTCTTATGGGGCGGTGGTGCCCACGTCTGCCCAGGAAGGTATTTTGCCAGCCAGGAAATGAAGACCATGCTGCTGGTGATCGTTTCGAGGTATGACGTAAAATTTGAGGGACTGCCAAAGAGGGTGAGGCCGAAAGATACGTGGACGAGTTTTAGCTGTTTGCCGGATCTGAAGCAGAGAGTTATGTTCAAGCGAAGGGAGTAGACACGTTTGGCTTGGAGATTTCTGGAACTGGATATGGAACAAGCGCATTGGATGAAACACCGCACGGAAGGCACCACTTTGCGACATCCGGGGAACGCAGTTCTCGGGCATGGTCTTTTGACTTCTACGTGATATGTATAATGTCTCGTAGGACTGCGAGGGACACAGCGCCTTACGCAGTTGCGTTCGGTGACCACTAGTTCCACCCAAGAGCGTGTTCTGCGACGTCTTCTTTATCTGTATTTATATCACCCGTACCATATCGACAAGCGAAATTCCCAGGTTTGCAGGTTCAAACACCCACTTCCAATATGAGAGATCAACTGTCCAATTAGGGATAGGTCATTTGAACAGTAACATGCGGTTTCGGGCCCGTGGCTGTGTGTTTTTATGAATCCGAGGGCATCCAGGTTTTGGGGCACGTCTGGACTCTGGACTCTGGATACAGATGTCAGGGTCCTGAGCTTAGTAATTTAATCCCGCTCCGCGTCAAGCGGGCAGGGCAGGGTGCATTGCTCAGCAATTCAATAGCCGGTGCTGCCTGCTCTATCTAGATGTCAGGTAATTATTAATTGATACTACTACACAAAAAACAAGAAAAACAGAGGACATGGAGGACATCACCTCCAAGCCTGTCTATTGTATTTCTATGCAGTCAATTCACCAATGACTACAGTTCATGGCCCTTCTCTTACTCTCCCTCTTCATCTGACTCCACCCACCAAGCCTGCTCATCCATCTCCACCTTGCCATCCTTCAGATGTCCATCATTCTTCCTCCAGGCACACAGCCGGAACCTCACCCATGTACTCCCTGGCCATTCACTGAACCTTTTGATGAGCTTCTTCAGGCCAGCGGACTCCAACAACTTGGCATGTTCATACCAAGTTTTGTA